GGAGATATTAAACTGGATGAGCGATATTGTTTCATTCTTCCCTTCAAAAGGAAAGGGATGCATTACAGGAGGAATTGAAGAAGAAACATCTCAACATGGCATTTGTTGACTCGAAAATGGAATTGACATTCTCATTGAGAAGGAAGGAGATAGTTGAAGAAGAACCTCTTGTAGCTGATGTACTAAGACAATGGCCAGCATTGTTTTTTGGAACATCAGGTAAGTTTTAAAGAGTAACTTGTGATTTTTTTTTTCCCTGTAAGATGAATAGACTTACTGTACACTTGCTGTATTCTTATTGTTAATTCTGATTTTTTTTTTTTTTTTAGATATGTACTGAGTTTTACAGAATCACACAAACAAACCTGAAGAGTAAATTTTTCTCTTCTCTGGATGAATATACACCGCGGATGATCAAGTTGTATAGGGTACGCGGCGGAGCATATGGAGATAATATGAAGACCCTCCTAGACCAACTTGATAATCAGGTAATTATTTAGATTGTGTTCCTATATCTCTCGTTAAGGGGAACCTATTATGATTTGTTGGGTTGACTTTCTTTTAGTGTGTAACGTAGGTAATGTAGGAATTTGAGAATCAATCTAAACACGTGATGCATATAATTTCTTTTCCATATTTCCATCATTTTTCCATATTCCATATCGATGCATATCACTTTTTCCATGTTTGTCTTTCTTTGTCTCTCAGACCTCCGATGTGCTTGCTCATAGAAAGGCTACAGCTCTCAAAGGTCTACCTTTGTTTATGAGGGAAAAGTCTGAACATTTCCTGAAGACTTGCCTGGTAAGATGATTTATCAGCACATACATTTATACTTCAAATCCATCTCCAGATCCTATCAGGGGGTAACAGTTTTGTCTGGAATCCAAAACTAATCCATTAACTCTACTATCTGCCATGACATAGGAGACAAAGTGATGGTAAAAGTAGTTTATTTGAGTTTCTCAGTGTTTGGATTTCTGATTTCATCTGAAAACACAATTCAAAGTATTATTCTAAAGCAAAGATAATAGTTAATTACTGCTGCAAAACACTGTCCTGAGACATTGAAAACCTTGAGATGGAGACATTCCATCTGATCTCCAACCTGTGAAAAGAATACAGCACACAACACAATTATAAGATTAAGCAGTAATGTAGGAAAAACCAAGGGTAAGTGAGATTAATATGAAATAATACACCAGAAAATTAATATAGAAAATATAAACAACAAATGAATTGATTTTCTTACCCTTGTGTTTTTCGCCCTTACTGTCTGAATGCAGTTGCAGAATTCAAATAAAAAATGGCTTTTGACCTTGTTTTATGCTGCTTTTTACTGCAGGACACAGAGCCAGAAGAAAATCATACAAATGGGAATAAAGATGGGGATCTTAACCATCGTTGAAGATGACGTTGCGACCATCCACTCAAACCCAAATGTAAGGTGCCTGTCTGTGGTTCTAGAGGAGCATATCGTGCTGGATAATGTGCAAGACCTTCCCACTGCTATGGCTCTTCTCTTTGGCTTGATTTATGCCCTGAACATGAACTATCCTAAAGAACTCAAGTACACCTTTGAAACGATTCAAAAGGTGTTTATTGGTCTTGACCCCCAGTGCTCAGCAAGAGTCCAGTCCTTCAAAAACAAACTGTCAATGTCTAAATAGCTGGATACGGATAAGGGAAAGCACTAAGCTGTTCCTGTTGTTCCATCTGATGTTTCCGTAAAAGTTCAACATGTCAAAAGGAAATATTTAAAATTTTAATGTAATGAACCTTAAATGTTGTGAAACTGGATTGGTCAAACACATTTGTTGCAATTTTTAGAATCCTGAAGTCTTGTTCATAGATATAGCACTTTAAGACTGTTTCTTGTACTTTGTTACTCCAGCACTTTAAAAGATGTTGTGCTGTAAAAGCATTCCAAAAGCATTCCAAGAAGAGAGGAAAGTGTTCTTTTGCCTCTTAAGGGTCCTCAATGTGACAAATTGTGAATAAATATTTTCTGTAATGATGGCATAGTCTTTTGTATTGTTTTTACAGCATTTACAGCATGGCTGAGAAATATGGATGCGAGATTATTCATAGCTAAATTAAAAGATGAAAATAAAGCTGAATCAACTTTAAAAAACAAGGCAACCAGCTGCAAAGCTTTTTTGAGTTGACTGAAATTCATGCCCATGTAGTTGTGGCTACTTGTTTTTTAAAGTTCGCTCAACTCCCTTATCCACCTTCACTGAACTTTCAAAAATGATTTGGCACAACTTCAACCACCGAAGTTGAGTAAACTCAAAAATGCTTTGCAGCTGGTTGCTTTATTTTTTTAAGTTAACTCAACTTTTAATTTTTTACAGTGTAGGATTTGGAAGAAACACCATATCTTCAGTATACTTGCCTTTGATTGTTGGCAGACGGCCTCCACAGAAACATGATGACCAGCAGTATGATGGAGAAGAGGAACCTCCAGAAAGCATCATCCACCCACAGCTCCATCCAGTCCTGCTCAGAAACACGTTTTAAATCTTCTGGTTCTGCTCCAATCAGAGCAGAGCTGTAAACTCAGAGAGCTCAGATACTCACCGCCTGACAGTCTGCTAACCGGAACTTCTTCGTTGTCCAAACCATGAAAATGATGGAGCCTGAAACACGCCACATATCAGTCACCTTGACTGGGTTTAACTATTGCACTGTATTCAGCGAGATTTCATGCTTTTACTCACCGAGAACAGCAAAGATGAGCGTGTTGGTGAAGTGTCTGTACAAAGACAACTTCACTGGGTTTCTTCTGAGTTTCAGAGTCTTAATGGTTTGTGCCAAACTGACAAATATGTGAGATATAGTCAAGGAATTGAGTCACTGACTTATAGGACCATAAGACTAGGAATATAACAAGTTATTATTAACCTAATAATTCCTATGTAGCATGCTGTCAATTACCACAGACAAAATAATAACATGAAACCTACATTCACTAGAATAGACTTGTAATAAGCAGGCAGAACTACAGAATAATGTTGAAAATATGCAACTACCACACCGTTTCGACTGTTATATTTATTATATTATGATATGTATATTATTTATAATATAGTTAAATATTATATATAATATTAAAATATTATGTTTGGCCATGCAGTGAAGTTGTGTTGATTTACTATCAATAAAGTTTGAGGTCAGTAAGATTTTTGAAATATTTTAAATGTTTTCACCGCGGCTTCATTTATTTGATGAAAAATACAGTAAAATAGTAATATTCCGAAATATTATTACAATTTTAAATAACTTTTTCTATTTGAATATATTTTAAAAAGGAAATTTATTCTTGTGATTCAAAGCTGAATTTTCAGCATGATTACTCCAGTCTTCAGTGTAACATGATCCTTCAGAAATCATTCTAATATGCTGATTTGCTGCTCAAGAAACATTTCTGATTATTATCAGTGTTAAAAACAACTGTGCCGCTTCATAATTGTATGAAAACTGTGGTTTTAATCAGGTTTAATTTTATTTGAAATAGAAATTTTAAATGTCTTTACTGTCACTTTTGATAAATTTAATGCATCCCAGCTGAATAAAAATATTAATTTATTTTAAAAAAATCTTAACTGACCCCAGACTTTAGAAGAGTAGCATATTTGCAGTGCTAAAATGCATCATCTTTCATCGGATATTTACAGTAAACACATGCTGAAACGTCTATGGTAATCAAGAACATCTCACATAGGCATAGATATAATGCCGAAAATGATCAATTTTTTTTGTAGCATCATGCTTAGTAAGAAAGTCTTCAGGTCTATAGGGCAAATAAGAAAATAAAACAAGAACTCCATAAATAAGGCATCATGCAGGAATAAAATACTGCCCAATAGACAGACTATGTGGGGGCAAAGACACACAAACAGCTTCCCAAAAGGATATCCACCAACACAGAGAGGAGTCAAGCAGAGCCAGGGGAATGTTGGCTAGCAGGGCCAGGTCAGAGTCTTTAGCCTGAGAGAGATGCACAGAGGTGGGGAAAAATAAGGAATAGGGAACAGTAGGAACAGGTCCTTCACCACTACAAAAACTGAAAAACAAACGATTATCAAACTAAAAATTACACTAAAAGGAATAAGCACCTTTTAAATGTTTTTCAACTACATGGTTATATAATCTGCAAGAAATAATTAACATTTGTAAATGACAGAATTAGTTAAAACAGTTCACCCAAAAATGAAAATTCTGTCGAGAAGGATTAATGCTGGCAACCAAACCGTTTTGGTTCCCATTGACTTCCATTATATGGACAAAAATACAATGGAAGTCAATGGCAACTGTTTGGTTACCAACATTCTTCAAAATATCTTCTGTGTTCAACAGAACAAAGAACGTTGAGATGAGGGTGACAGAACTTTCATTTTTGGATGAATCATCCCTTTAAAATCTGGTTGGTATGGTATAATTCTGTTAATTAAATGAAGTCTTCATAATCGAACAGGCTTGATAGGCCCATCGGAAGGATATGAACCAGATAGCAGAAGAATCAAACACAGCTAGTATAATGTATGTGACGAGGGCTGGTCCATTATCTCGACCCTTACAGATCAACACCAATCACACTCATTATTGACAACAAATAAAGTCTAAAAATGACATCTCATAATTGACGGTTATTTGACAAAATGGCTGTTTATATTATGCAACTGCATAACAAAATAGTTTAAAAGGAACCAGGATGTCAGCTTTACCCCAGTGATCCTCAGAATGCCCTCAATTGCAGCAAATGCGAAGTAAAGCACACCCAGACCCACCACTCTGTGCATGACGGTGCCTAAACGCGGCCTGAGAAAACACAAAAACATCATTGTCATCTCACGCTCTCTAAAACCACTCAAAGGTATAGCTCACCCAAACATGATAATTCATAACACCTCCTCCGGTGAAAAAAAGTTCATTCCCTGTTGTCCTCTCACATCAAAATATTTATTTAGTATTTAATAATAATATTGTTTAGAAACGTGTTTTTGCTTGTAAATGGTGCTTGATCTGTACATATTTCTCTCCTGATTCAGACGTGATTACTTTTTTTTTTTACTGGAGTAGGTAATATTATGGATTTGGTTTGAAGTTAAAAACGTCTTGATGGATTGTTTCTTACAAACACACAGCTTATCACTTCACAAGACATTAAGTGATGGACTGGAGTGGTGTGGATTATTGTGTTGTTTTTATCAGCTGTTTGGACTCTCATTCTGACGGCACCCATTCACTGCAGAGGATCCACTGGTGAGCAATTGATGGAATGCTACATTTCTTCAAATCAGATGAAGAAACAAACTCATCCTAATCTTGGATGGCCTGAGTACATTATCAACAATTTTTCATTCTTTAATGATCCTGAAACCTGCCGATCAATGCTTTCATTACTCACTTGACAATGCCGTAGCCCAGACTGACGATGATGACGAGCAAACGGGCCAGAGTCCTCTTCAAAGCAGAGATGAGCTCGGCAAAGATCAGCAGACCCTGAGCTGGAGAGAAGACAAAGAGATTCAACTTTTAAACATATGGAAAGCTATTGATCTATTTTCAGTAAATGCCAGTGTGATGCCTGATGCAGACTAATTAAAGTGTCTGAATGTCACTGCATTAGACAACAAAATATCGATCCAGGTGTCATTCATTTTAAAGAAAGATTCAATTTTAAGGTTTTAAAGAAAGGTTACATATTAAATTATAAAATAATACATCTATCTAGTGTTAAAAATTAAGACAAAGGTATTGTGACACTTTGTGTTTTAAACTGAAAACTTGAAATATAAAAACATATATATATATTATTATTACTGTTTTATTGTATTTTTGATCAAATAAATGCAGTCTATGCACTAAAATTACGAAAAGATTCTAGATTACAGTTTTATCTTATGCAATGACATTCAGACAGTTTTACGTGTGACTTAAATGTCCAAATTAGTTAGGCCATCGTAGGAGAATTTAACAGTTGAAACTGAGGAATAAAGAGTGTATTTTGACTAACATGCTGAGCCCATGTTGTTAGTGTTCTGATATTCAGCACAGAAGACGGCCTTCTCTATCATGCCCAAGAATATGACTCCTGCAATCCAGAACTGGATCCTCAGCAGGTCTTTCCAGTAGCAGGATGCCCAGACGAACCACAGCAGAGCGTACAGGATGTACACCACACACATGACCATGTAGAACTGAAGAAAAGAGAGGGAGACACGCATACGAAATCATGCAAAGATATTATAATAGAATTTTGTCCATCAGGAATTGATTGGACTGTTGGATTGTTGTCGGTTGTTAATTTGTTATTTAACTGCTCATTTATTATTGAATATAATACATGTAATAAATATATAATACATTTATAAATGCAATATTTAAAAAAAACAATACTTGTTCATTTTGATTTAAATTTTTTTTTAAATTTAATTACTTTTTTTTATAAATAATTTATTCTCTGATTTTCTCTAAACTTTTCCACAAACCCCTAGCACTCCTTTGAGGCCCTTAGAGGCTCCAAATCCCGCATTAAAAACCCATCATAGAACACTGATAAGCAAATGACAAAGCCGATGAGCATCTAAACTACTTACGATCATGAGAGGCCATTCGGTGACAGAGAGATAGCCGTGGGTTCCCTTCATCACAACACTGACTGAAACACAATTTAGATAAGATAGCATGAGATAAGATCATGCAGCTATACAGAAACAGCTACATTTTCAGACATCTACGATAAGAGCAGATAAGGTAATTAGGCCTACAGGTTAAATTCCAGTTGGCATCCTGTTTGCTTGAATTGATCTGCACTACCAGCAGGTAGGGCCCGTCCCTCCAGGTCGTAGCAATCACATGTTCCTTTGCCAACAAAGAAATTACATGCATTACTCAACAAACCCTCAATTGATTGCTGTTGCCAAATACCCCATATGTTATATCTGAAAATGTCTTACCGTTGTTCTATATGAGCCAGCCTCAGCAACAGAAGAACTTGTTAAACTCCCATCCTTATTTTAAAAACAAAGAAAAATATATTGCTCTTTTTGAGTTGTTTGAAAACAAGTAGCTTTTGAAACAGGATCGTTAGTCAACAGTTTTACCTGTAACTCGCCTTCCAACTGAGCCAGGCTCACGGTTTTTGGTTCTGCTTTTGATTTCTGCAGATAAACGTGTAATAGACAACACTGAACCTCTTAAGATGCAATTATGAAATAAAGATTAACATCAGTCAAATGTCAGGAAGTTGAGAAAGAGGCTGAAAACATCACACTTCACATCACATTTTTGTGATCTATAATTGTAAGCATAGATCATGTTAGTAGTATTTGTTGAATTACCTTTCTTTGCTGATTTTAATAATTTTAAGAAATATCATTGTGTCTGGAAACACAGACAATGTGAGAAAGAGATTTCTATCACATTGTGGTAATGAGGGGGAAATGTGCTCGTAAAATATGCTTGGCATATTTTATAAAAAACAAAAAACAAAATAAAATAAAATAATAAAATAAAAGTTATTTATTTATATAAATAAAGCCCCGAAAATACAATAGGCATAAGTTTGTTAATGCAAAATACAATTTCATCTTTTTTATTTGATAGTAAATTAAATATAAATATAAATACACATAAATATAAATAGTACATGAAAATGTTGAACTTTTAAATTTTGAAAAACATAAATGAAAAAGAGAAATATTGTTTAGGCAACTAACAGAAATCAAATAAGTTTAAGTATTAAAAAAAATTACTAATACAAAAATACAAATAAAGCTAAATATACAGTGGTTGCCACCACATATACAGTGGTGTGAAAAAGTTTCTTTGTTTTTTTGTCCTGTTTTTTTAATTGTTTGCATATTTGTCACATTTAAAAGATTCAGATCATCAAACTAATTTTAATATTACACAATGATAACCTGAGTAAATACAAACTGCAGTTTTGAAATTACGCAGCCCTAAAAAAAAAAAGAATAATTTTAAGGGCATTGATGAACCTGTGGTGGTTTCTGCGGTGGGGAAGAAATGTAAGCAATTAATAAGATTAGTATTGACCAAGTTCAGAGGCTGTCATATGTGGATCAACTTACTTT